GCTGGCGCTGGAGCTGGATCGCGTCGGGGAGGCTGCTCGGGAGGACGGTTTCGATCTTCGGCCTCGCGATCGGAACGGCGTCATTCCCTGGGAGGCCCCCTCTGGCAAGATGAATTTCTCTCGGAGTTCAAGGTTGGTCCGTCCTCGTGCTGGAAGGGGACAAAGGAGAGGAGACCTGAGGTTTGAACGATCCCAGTGTGATTCCTGGGGCTCAGGTGGCTCCGGGGGTCGGAGCACGCGTCCTTGCGATGCCTCCTCAAGCCCATCTCAAGGGCGAGCGGATGGCAGAGACACCGTCCTGGCTCTCCTGCTCTGCCCTAACCACCTCCTGCCATGAATCACCTCATTGAGAAACCGTCCGATTAAACGCTGCGTGAGGCCCATGAACTCACACTGGACGCCCTATCGTTCTCTGGTGTCTTGGGGAAAGCAGCTCCGATGGCCTTTAAACACACCGTGTTACACCAGCGGCCAATGTCATCTTAACATGGCTTAAAAATAGTAGAAGCAGCATTGAAGGGTTGTGATTCTGCTCTCTCACAGCTCTGGGCACCAGTTTTTTGGGGTGAGGAAACAAAGAAGTGACCACCACCCAGTAAAAGCCAATTTAAAAATTTTGATCCAAAGGCCCCAAAGAGCTGAGGTGGGGTTTCCCTTCAACAAGTCAGGTGCAACCAAGCAAGGAGAAGGTCTGTGGCCTTCAGCTCCCAGGACAGCTGATGTGTGCCAACGTGTTTCATAGTCATGGCACACACCCAACCCTACAGGACATGGGACTGATGCTGGAGTCGATGCATTAGGGACCAGAAAGCAACCGCAGAAAGGAAGCACCATGCTGAGATAACCAAGGGATGGAAATAACCTCGATGTCAGCGCTGTAAAACATCTGCTGCAAAGCACGAACGGGGGCGGCTGGAGGAGCAGAACCACACTAGGAAAACCCTGAAGGTTCCCCAAAGCAAGTGGCTCCCGCTGTAAATCACCCCGCTTTCAGCAGCAGCCGTCAGGAACGGACAGGCAGCAGCTTGAAGAAGACAGATCCGAAGCAATTAACATCTTGGAGACCCCGGAGAGACAGGGACACATGGAGTACAGACTTACTATCTCCAAAATATGCAGCCTTGATGCGCTTCATTCCTGGCCATCCCCCTTGCTAACCCTCTGTCCCCTGGTCACGGCTCTTGGCTGGTTGCAGCAGAGCATCGCTTCCAGCCCAACAGCTCTGACCACGATAAAGCCTCAAGGCTGAAGGTTTTGGAAAGGAGCGAGACCCGCTCCTCCGGCACGTCTGCCCACTCACAGTCACAGCAGCCACGTTCTCAAACTCCCCTTACTGGGCGAGAAGACCCCAGTTGTACAAAACCCCGGAACTGCCTTACCTCTGCAAGGATCGTTCTTCACTAAAAATTCATCCAGGGCCATCCATCCTCCACCGACGCGGACCATCACCGTGCTCCGCAGGATACGGACCAGCCGCAGCTGCTGGGAATCGCCGAACTGCGGAGCCAAGGAACAGTTCAGACACGGGGGGACACTGTGAGGGACACTCGGCTCCTTCCCGAGGAGGCTGCACCAGGGCGAAGCTATTGGAAATGCTCTTTTGATCTTTTATTGACATATTGAATAATTTATGGTTTCTCCAGATTGTTTTTTTCAGGATTTAAAGGATTTTTTCTTTTTTTCTGCATCGTTTTAAGATGATGCAGCTATTAAAATCTTTTAGTTTTAAAGCCACGAAGAGAGAATTTTTGAGAGTAGCGAATGATAACTTGGAATTTGGTCTTTCACTGGGTTTGCTCAGCCAGCATCACAGGTTTTCCTTTTATTAGGAAGGAAGCAGGGGCTGGCAACGCAATGAGCCTCCTGGTCCAGCCCACGTGGCAAAGAGCCGGCTGCTTGGGATGGCTGAGCGCCGGTGAATCGGCAAGGCAAGCAGTGCTGCGTCACCGCTGAGCCAGAAACCTCTTCTCATCAAGTCTGAAGCCCAGGGATTTGGCCCAGCCTCAGCCTTGCCCCCACCAGCCACAAAGCCCCCGCCGCAGAGATCGCCCAGCGCGGATGTTTCGGTGAGTGCAGAGGGATGGGAATCCAGGCAGGAATCCCGCAGCAGTGTTGATTAGCGATTGCAATGTTCGTTAGTGATTTGAAACACCCGCAATTTCAAACGAGTGCACCCCGAAATCACAAGCGTGTGTCTGTTTTTCGAAGCTCCCTAAATCTCCTGGACGAGCCCAAGCACTGGGAACTCGGCAGAGCCGGGCAGGACACCGGGAGCCTGGCTTGGATGTAGTAGCTCTGCATCCAGGTCTGCAGAGCGCCTGCTGTGATGAGAAGATTGGGGAACCAGCCTTTGGAAGCAAGACAGGCTTCAGAACGATTAAAAAAAAAAAAGGAAGGAAAAAAAAAAAGCAGCAACATTTTCCTTGAGGGGACAAGAATACAAAAACTGAGAGATTACATGAAAATGGAAAGTGCAAAGCCACACTGAGATGGGACATGGCAGGCGGAGGGACAGGAGGCAACGGCATCTCCGACCCTCCTTCCCGTGGGAACATGGGACCCTGGACCTACTGGCTCTCCCTGCTCGGGGTCCTACCAGTGCCGCAGTGAAAGAGCTGCCACGGCTGTGCTTGGCACGGCCACGGTGCCAGGGGGCAGGGAGGAGGGCAGGGGAGCTGCCTTCCCTCTCTCCGGGCTCTCCACAAAGCATCCTTCGAGAGCTGCACCAGGGAACACCAGGGACAAGTGGATTCTCATTTCCACTGCCACATTTACATTATTTTTCAGCTGCTGTTGAAACTTCTTCTATAATCACTGCCTAAATTAAAGCCAGAGCTCTCTTGGATCCATCTGCTTCCGACATCCAAGTTTGTTTCTTTTCGGGGGTGTTTCGGTAGGGCACCGTCATTCCGCGGGAAAAAGAGGATTTTCTGTTTGAGCGGCGGCGGCGGGCGCATCGTCACGGTACGTGATGCTCCAGTGCCGTTAAAAAAAGAGCTTTTTCCCCGGAACCAGCCCCGCTCACACACGCTGCACCGCTCATCTCGCGCCACGGAGTAACGGGGACACATGCGGGTGCCGTGAGCCTCGGCTCCGGTTAGCAGTTACTCAGGGGTGTAGCGGGGATGAGGGTTTAGTTATCGTTACCTACAGGATTAAAGGGGTGGAAGTGACATTCTCATTCCACGGTGATTGTGATCCAAACCCACCGGAGCCTGGTACAGCCCTTGTGCAGGTGATGGGACCCCCGTGATTTAATCCGGGCTGGCTGTCCCCAGCACGAGTCCGCCCGTATCTCAGGTACCGTGGTTTGCCACTGGGTACCATCAGCACTCTCAACATATCCAAGAAAGGAGCCACGGAGAGAAAAATCTCTCCATTTTTGTCATAATCCTGGTTTTCCCATGTTTTTCTGCCCAATTCAATCCTTTTTTTTTTTTTTTTTTTTTGGGTGACCCTCCCAGCTCCGGCACTCCTCTGTACCAGGCTCACAGATCACATCCTCCCACAGCAACAAAGGATGGAGCAGTGTCACGGACACATGAAGCTAGGTTTGTTAAAAAAAAACAGAAAATAAAAATAAAAATAAAGAGGTGAGAGACAGCATCGCAAGGCAAACTGTACCTGATTGCCGAGGAAGAACTACGGAGGGAGAGTTGTGGAGGGAGAAGGGATGGGGGGCGGGGAAGGAAAGTTGAGAGGAAGAGGAGGGGAAAGAAAAACAAGAAAAACATTTATGGGATTAACAGTGCAATAATCATGAAAACTGTTAACTGCAGGGAGTTAGAAATCCGTGGGGTTTATGCTATCTGGGTGTCAGACAGACGCTTGGGGAGGCTGGGGGGGGGGCGGC